TAAGGGCCGCTCATACAGGTGTAATATGATTCTGGTTCATCATAGATGAAGATAGTTGTAACATGTTAGCATAATATATGTGGCTTTAAAGTTATTTTATTTTTAAGGAATGGGAGCAAGGACATAATTTGTAAAAAAAAAAATTAGTTTAAGCCATTCTTATCCCTCCAAAATACACCTCATAAATTTGCTGAATAAAAACAAAATTCCGCAATATGCAAACAATTATTCCATTCTTGGCTATAGGACACAGAGATCTTTGACTAATCTTTAGCACAGGAAAGAAGTTGTGAAAAAGGTACTCCATATTGTGTGCATATATATATATATATATATGCATAAATTATATATAGGGCTCAGGAGTATAACCACTATAGTAACTTTTTGCTCTTTTATTTCAATTAAACAAAATTTTCACTTAGGGTTTACTGCTTATATTTCCATTAATGAATCTTCTGAGCTTCAGTGCTCTTAAATAGGATATTAAATAGGATATTTATTCTTTTTTTTTTTTTTTTGGCGGTTGTGGGGCTTGAACTCTGGGCCTGGGCGCTTGTCCCTCAGCTCTTCAGCTCAAGGCGAGCGCTCTACCACTTGAGCTACAGCGCCACTTCCGGTTTTCTAGTGGTTTATTGGAGATAGGAGTCTCACGGTCTCTCCTGCCCGGGCTGGCTTTGAACCGCAATCCTCAGATCTCAGCCTCCTGAGTAGCTAGGATTACAGGCGTGAGCCACCGGCGCCCGGCTAGGATATTTATTCTTAAGGCCAAGAACTTAAAAACATATGTGTTATGTGTGATTAAAGTATCCAATGCAATATAGTTATGGTTATATTTTCTTTTTAAATGCTGTTTATAGTAGTAGCTATGATAATAGTATATGTTGCAAGTAAGACTTTGAGAACTCCAATGGAGAGAAAGCAACTACCAATCACTTGTACTTGATGAACATGATTATACTTCTATATTCAGGTTTAATAATTATGTTGATATGGTAAGCAACTCTTTGCACAAGAATTGTAATCATGACAGATGAAATGCTCTTATTCAACTCAAGTAAATGCACTTGAACCATTGGGTAACCACTTTTAACCATTTCATAACTATAGATTAGAGTCCCATCTTTTCCCTTCTTTTTTACTGTAAAGGACTAAATTTGCATAAATAGATCATGTAAGTCTTAATGTTGTACATTCTGAACACACAAAGATTTACTTTCACAATTTGGTATTTCATTTAGGAGAACATGTTAGATTAGCCTACCTTTTTTATTTTTTTTTTGGTCAGTTGTGGGCTTGAACTCAGAGCTAGACACTGTCCTTCAGCCACTCTGTGCTCAAAGCTAGCACTCTACTACTTGAGCCACAGCATCACTTCCAGTTTTTGGTTAATTGGAGATAAGAGTCTCATGGGGAGAAAATAGGCTGGCTTCAAACTGTGATCTTCAGATCTCAGCTTCCTAGGTGTCTAGGATTACAGGTGTAAGCCAATGGCACCTGGCTTAGATTAACTTAACTTTTATAATGTTTATACTTTGAACTTGAAATTGTTAATCCATCATTTTCATGATCTATATATATTATCTGTCTGGTAGAACTTAGTAATTCTGAAAGTCATATCTAAAACAGCTATATATGGCATAGTGTTATGTGATGCATAATTAGAAAATTATCCTATGACAGCATTGGCTTTGGTTGATGTTTGTTTGTTTGTGCCAGTGCTAGGGCCTGAATTTAGGTCCTGAGCATTGTCCTTGAGATTTTTTTTCTTTTTCTTTTACTTTTTGTTTCTCAGAGCTAGTACTCTACCATTTGGGCCACAGCTCCATTTCTGGTTTTTTTTTGTTTCTTGTTTTTTTTTGGTGGTTAATTGGAATTAAGAGTCTCTTACACTTTTCCTGCTCAGGCTGTCTTCAAACCAGGATCCTCAGGTCTCGGCCTCCTGAATGGCAGCTAGGATTACAAGTATGAGTCATCAGCACCCAGATCTGAGAGCACTGATTCATTTAATTAAAATATTATTTTTGAAATGGGATGTGGTCTGGTTGTCTGCCCTCAGTGGTGACACAGACCTTCCAGACATGACAGTCAAGTCCCTTATGTAAATGAAGGACCAGGGTGACTCCAGGGACAAGCTTCTTCCAGAACCCTAGGTGGGGATCTTCACTCTGGCCTGGGTGGGAATGATTACAAATTAGAATTCACTGAATTTGATCATACCAAAAAGTTTAGTGCAAGCTCTGTGCCCAGGCAGTGGCTTCAGGACAGAGGACTACTTCAGCAGCAGATGGCTGTGGTTGTAATGTAGTTTCCTCAAGATGTCTGTGGAGCAGCTGACACGGGCAGGAGCTCAGTAAAACTGTGGAGCTGATAGACCTTCCAGGAGGCAGCCAGGGCACCAAGAAAAAGGTCTAAGTGCTGTCAGCACAGTAAATTGTCCTGGCCTCCTACTTCCTAGCTCATTTAAAGGAAATATAAACACTAACAAAGAACCCTATAACTTGACCAAAGCCTCAGTCTGACATTCCAACTAAGATGTGTGTGAGCTGTGGGAATTGAGGCTACCCAGGACCCTCTTTCTAAGATGCCATCAGCTTCAGTTACCCTACTTTAATTTTCTATAAGAACACCTCCTGCTACTATACCTTACTAGTTATTACTCTAACTAATTGACTAAAAATGCTGATAGCAGAAGTCAGGTGGGGCAGGGAGGATCCCCAGGGTCCCCATTCTTTTTGGCAGGACCCCAGGAAGCCAAGTGCTGAGGAAGACTTCTTTACCCCACCCATCACTTGCTTCCCCAGGCCCCCCTCCCCCCAGAGGCCTTAGTTTGGGTTGTGGCCTATTCTCAAATACCTTGAGGAGGAGGGGAAGGAATAAGATTATAGTTTTGCTTTTTGTTGAATTGGAAGGGGGATTCTACTTTATACCCTTCCCAAAGATAGGGAGGGACACCAGGATTGTATTCCTGAACTGGCCACCTCTGTTGTCACTCATCCCATGAAGTTCACATCCCTCAAGAGTTAGGATAAATTCAGGTCTAAGCTACAGGTATGTATTCCTCCAGTGTCATAGAAAAGTGATTGACCAACTGATCTCCATTTAGAAGTGTGCAGTTTTAAGGTACAGCGCATCAATGGTTATTTAGTAATGTTTAACAGTAATCTAACAACAATTAACCCTTGTCCCATTACCCTAGTGAGAGGTGGATTCCTACTATTGTCTTGTGAGGGAAGTGTGGAGGTGAAGTAGCTCCTGTAAAGGAAGAAGATATGCCATATATTTTGGTAAATTAGGAACAACGGGAACATTTGAAATGTGAGGATACTCCTGATTATGAAGTTGGAATTTCCCTGCAACTTGTATTTCCGGAAAGCACAAAATTATAAAGGAAAACTCCTTTCTATTAATGGAAAATCTTGGTACCAATTTTTATCCTGTAAATTAAAATGATTAGGCAGTTAGAGTGAATGGTTTTGCAAAGTCAACTGTGTTCTCTCCTTCTCTCTCTTTTTTTTTTTTTGCAAACTGTGTTTTTCCCACTGGTTTAACTTTAAATTCCTGTACTGTTATTGGATATATTTGTTCCTTTAAGTTTCTAACTGTGAAAAATAAAGTTAGTTTTATTGGTCTCTTTTGGATCAAAACTGTGGGCAAATGGTTGCAGACATTAACATGTATAGAACTTGGAGTGGGAGGAAAGAAGCCAAGAGGAGAAACAAAAGAAAGGACTGGCAAGTAGAAAAAATAAATAGCTTTTGAAAAAGAATAAACTGTCTGGTAAAACAATGCTACCCCTCTTCCTTGTTTCTGTTCATTTAGCCACCATCTCTAGCCTCCAGTTTCAGGTGCTGTGATTGCTGCCCAGCCATAATACTCCCTGGGCTTTGGTCACATAGATTCTTAGAAATTGAGAAATGCTGTATTAAAAGATAGAAGATATATTAGATTCTGTTTTTGTCCTTGAACAATTTATAATCTCTCCTTAATTCTCTTAAGCCTCAGGGTTTTCTGTAAAGTGTAGATATGAATGTTGTTTTTGCTCTTCTCAAACTAAGTGAAGTAAGCGAAAAATATCCTCAGAAAGTTCCTAGGGCTTATGTAGTGATTAGTCTTTCTAATCTCAATGTGTATATACATGAGAGGTGTGGGTAGTTTTGAGAAAGAAGAAAAAATGAGAGGTATAAATAATCAAGAAGAAACTCATCTTTCTCAAAGTTGTTTCTTACACACATTATCTGGGTTTTATTTGGTGAGAGAAAGTGAAATCATCCTGAATGTATTATTTTGCTTTTGCTTTTTCTTCTGTTGAACTATTATTCATCTCAAACCTTCCATAGAGAATTGGAAGTTTGTGCCTGTGCGAGTTAGGTGAAACATTTATTTAACCTAACTTTTGTGTCCCAAACAAATGACAAAGACACTGTATTAAAGCAACAGCTGCAGTACTTGAATCAAAAAGTAGTTTTTCTGTTTATTTTATTGCTTTTGATTTTTTTCTTTGTTTTCTTCTTTTTGAGATAGCATCTCAAAAAGATAGGCCTCAAATCCCCAATCTCCTGGCACAATTCCTGTGCTTCTACAGTGCCAGGACTATAGGTATGTAGCACCATGCTTGGCTAAGAAATGTTTTTCGATGGAACTGATAAACACCTAGTTCTCTATATCTGCCCACATCTCTTTGAAGTGTGCTATATTTTTTAATAGTGTGTTCTGACTTTTAAGAAGATACACAGAAAAACACTTCATTTTCTTTCATAGCAATTTCTTTTTATTTTATTTTGTTGTTTGGCAGAGAAAAAAATATTCTAGAATGAAAGCTTTTTTGTTAACCTGACCTTAAGCCTCTTGTACTGAGGTTTAGCCTGCCTCTGTATTCATATTTTAGGTTATTGTTATTCAAATATACAAGTTGTCTTTTTATAGTAAGCTTTAGTTAGGAATAATTTTCCTTTCTGTGATAATTAGCTGCTTTCAGTAACTTATTTTTCTGATTTGTTTAGCAGCAGCAACAGAAGAACCAGAAGTGATCCCAGATCCTGCTAAGCAGACAGACAGAGTTGTGAAAATAGCAGGCATTAGTGCTGGGATTTTGGTGTTCATCCTCCTCCTCTTAGTTGTCATATTAATTGTTAAAAAGAGGTAAGGTCTGATGCTGTTCTTTCCTCTTACTCACAAGTGATGTCACTAATTTTCAAATTCTTTTCTTCTATTAAGTATTTTTAAATTAGAACAAGAAGAATTTAAAATTAATGAGATTGCCAGCCCTTGAATATTTTACTCATATGTTTATTTGGTTATTTGCAGTTTGAATTTGATTATACATATATGTGTTTTATTAAATTAACCATAAAAACCACCGTTAAGAATTTAGATTTCTCAAATGCAGTGATACTTGAGTCATTAATTTATCACACTTTAAGTGTTATTATTAAGAGTAACAATATGGATTTTTGTGCTACTTGGGTCACAGTATAAGTTATTCTGTGTTTTGTGTTCTTCTAAATCTTTACTGCAAATAAGAAATGATAATATAAAATGGTTTAGTGATGGTATGTATTAAATTTTCACTGACTAAAAATTTCAAAACTTAATTTTTGTAACTAAACATAATCTTTTCTATTAGATCAACCAATATAACAGTCTTCTGTAATATATAAACAAATTAAAATGTGGGATAATTTCAGTTGTTCTCTTCTGAACATTAAAATATATTTCTATGAACAAACATTTCAATTTTTATTATTTGAGTTTTTAGCCATCATATGAAATGTCACAGTCTGTAAATCATTGTCTTGGAAATTAATACAGCACTCCAGGCCTTACAGTCATGTGTTTTTGGATAATGATGCAATTTGAAAGAAATTATTATTTTTTAAAACTTTACATACAAAGTACATTCAAACAGCTTTGTGTATAGAAGTGGTTATACTTTAATGAAGTATAATATCTTAAGGGATATTGTTTATATTAAATCTAATAATATACTATTATGAAAATGTGATACCCAAAGTGAAACATTAGCATTATGGATAAGACTCATACTACATGTTTTAACAATTCCATGAGAGTTTATTTTAATATATTGCCTCTTTACCCCCTGGAGATATATATGTTGGAGAAGACACATCTGCATTAGAAACATTAGGTATGCATTATAGTGTTTTGTGTTAAATTAGCTACATTATGTGCTTTCCCCAAATAGTGCTTTCTCTTTTTGCTGTTGTATACCTCTGTGATTGGAAATTACATCCTATGTGAAGCAAGAAGATTTTAGAAATAACAAATTTTTCCAGTAAAGATCAATAATATTGTGGGACATAGCCTTATATCTTATGTCTTTGTCCAGCCTAAATTTATGTCTGGAGAGAGACATAACCTAAAACAGCTTAGAGATTTAATTAAGCATTACTTCACAGTTGAAATTATCCTAGAAACTTCAGTTTGGATATGTGAAAGTGGCCTCTGATTATGTACTCACTCAGTATTGGATTAGTTTTATTTGTTAATTTGAAAATATTCATTGGTATGTAGTTGCTCTCCTCATCCCATGGTACTCTGTTGTAGGAAGAACAAAAAAATACTGAACATACTTCCTAAGGCATGCTAACAACAGTCACTAAAACATTTGGGGAGGGGGAGAATCAAATGCGCTGACAACTCTAAAATTGCATAATGTAATGAATCCTGAAGTTTAATAATTTTGATTAAATTGATAGAAAGAATCTAGGACTTTCTCTTCTTTGTTACCAGCACATCTATGACTATACAAATTTTAATTTTATACATGGATCAGGTTCCATATGTTACTTTCTGATGTATAATATTAGGATTAAATTACTCACCTCCTTACTTACCGAAGCAACTTCATGAAGATCTTTACTCATATGTACAATGTCACAAATATATCATGTATGAGTTAAATGCCAGTATGTTTATTATACATACCAAAAAGCATAGATATTATACAAGTACTGGATATGACCAAGTTTAACCTAAAATTTTAGAGTAGGTACTTTGGCTTTTAATATAGCCTCTTCTTATCTGCATATTTATGGGAAATTGTTGTTTCTCAAAACTTTATCCCATACTGGCAGAAGTATATGTGGGTATATTTCTCACTTGAAAAGAGCTCCATGTGTTTTTGGTTGTAAAGAAGTGGTTTTGAATTTAGCTAAGTAAAATACTACAGCTGAGGGTATATATAAAGTAAGTTTTTAGGAGAAGAAAAGGGATATTGCATCTTTCAGAACACAATGTCATTGTTTTTAATTTAATTGCTGTTGAATTATTTCCAAATGTATGCCATTTTTCCATTGATTGCATATTATATATTCTACATACACAGCATGAACACATTAATAATTGCAAACATCTATTTGAAATTATGTTTCAATACAGTAAATGTTTGTACATGATACCATGTTCACATGCATCTACTGTAGAAATAGCTTTGTGTATATATAGTATTTGGTGCATAGGTATATTACCAGAATACATGTATATACCTGTGTACCATTACAAAATTCATAAAAACTTGGGTGTTGTTCTCCATATATTATATTAGCATAGTAGATCTTTCTGTTTATATCTAAAGAATAATAGTCTATTTAGTATACAATTCTATACACAGCTGGTCCATCTGTCATGACATTTAGATGGTAATGGATGATACTATGCTTTACTGCATGTTGAAAATAGACAATCCATTTAATTTCTTCAATTTTTGGCAATAAAAGAAATGTCAGCATGTTATTTTTTCCAACTTAATGTATTTCAAATTTTATTTTATTGCATATCTGTCTGTTAGTTGCATGGCAAAAGAAACCTAACAATGCATGTGCAAATTGAAATGCAAAGCAAAAAGCAAAAACATGAATTTCATTTTATTTTGTTTTCTTTTTTAACGCACATTTTCTGCTTTATTGAATGTGACAGAGTCACGCTTTTCATTCACCATTGCTTCTCTTTTTCCACTGTCTGTGATTTGCTTGCCAGGAGGAGCTACTATTCTTACTCCTACTACCTGTAAGTAGAAAACGGGTGATGTACGACTTTACATGTGTTAAAGATGCAGTATCCCTTTTCAAAAAACAAACAAAGAAATCATGTTTGTACCTTTGGTGACAGTTTAAAAAAATTTTTTTTTCTGCTCTATAAAACTTCAAACTATTTTCTGTTTTGGCAATCTTTTTAAAAAGGGATATTGTATTTCTGTATGTCCAGCTACTTTTAATTTTAATTACAGTTTTCCATAAATAGCTCTAGTCTACAGCCAGAGAAACATAACTTATTTATTTAAATCAAGCCTTTATTTTAGCAATTCAACACTTCATTCGTCTGGTAGAGAATGGTGTTGTAAATCCCTTATCTCTATCCTTATGTAATACTGTTTTATTTGAAGAATGAGCTAAATGATATATTCCTAGAGGAGAATTCACCAGGACAGGTGTTGGAAGCTCTTGCCTATACTCCTACCTGCTCAGGACTCTGAGATCCAAGGATTGCGGTTCAAAGCCAGCTCATGCAGGAAAAGTCCATGAGGCTCAATTAACCACCAAAAGCCTGGAACTGGAGTTGTGGCTGTAGTAGTAGAGTGCTAGCCTTGAATAAAACAGCTCAGGGACAATGCCCAGGCTTTTAAGTTTATGTCTCAGGAACAGTGGACATGCGTGCTGCTCATATGCAAAAGTGCATGCGCACATACATACACACACACACACACCACACACAGCTGTCTTTACCAAAAGCAAATCAAATCAGGTCTGCATGTGATAACATCTCTTTTCACATTTCCAGACATGCAAGATGGGGTATAACCCATATCTTCAGAAGACCTTTACAGTCATTATACTATAGTTAAAATAAATGAATCAAATAATGATGATTGATGGGAAGGAAGGAAACTCTTTTCAGAGAAGAAATGAATTTATTTAGCACGCCTTAATAGAACAAAGACTATATAAAATCAAAGCAGAAAAATATTTTTTTTAAAGTGAAAATCTACTGAAGGAGTAGCACCACCTCACATCTCATTTTCTCTTTCTGAGTTTGCAACTCTTGTAGATTAAGGTGTGGCAAGATTATTTACATAAGCTTGGAGAAGACTATCCATTCTATTTTTTTAGTCCTTTTTAGTTTCTCACTATCGATGACAAGGAAGTTCCCTGTCCAATCCAAAGAAATGATAAGGCTTACAAGTTGGAGATTAAGTATGTTTGGTTAGGTATCTACTGCATGTGCAGTACTAGGTAAGTTTAAGCTAGCTTTACAACGAAATTTATGAGTCAATCACTAAAACACAAGTCTGCCAGCATTTTAAATATTACAAACATTTGGCTTCCTGAAATCGGCTAAAATAAGCAGGTGTAAAATAACAGTGCTCTTAGCTTATTGTGATGCATCATAATATGCTTGTTAAATCATGTTTGATGAAGCCAAAGGTAATTAACTGTACCATTTCGTACAATGATGGAGTACTTTCCCCCTTTATGGCCCACACATACATCCACCTGCAGAAGTTTATGCTGTTGGCTGCTTTGATAATGAAAGTCATTTGCACATCTGTCAAAATCAAGTGCTTACAAAATGAATTGCTTAACTGTCCTGAAGTGCACATTATATATGCTGCTTGCTCCAGAGAACACAAAGCATGAGACATACTAGAATCAATAAGTATTTAATTATGAGAATGTCAATAAACCCACCATTAACTGTCACTGTATCTGTAAAATTAGAATGGGACTCTCTTTTGGTGAATGATTAACATTTGTAGACATGTAGATTAACATGTTCTAGACATTAACATTATGCTTATGCTACTATGCTACTTATGTCTTTTGGATTTTTAAGTCCTAACTAAAAAGACTATCAAAGAGATGGTGTGTGTGTGTGTGTTTGCACGTGTGTGTGTATGCGCGTGTGCATGTGCGTGCACACACTCACAGTGGCCAGATGGAGGCTTGAACTCACAGTTCTCATTCATTTTTGCTCATGGCTGGTATCTCCAGTTCTGGGATTTTTGCTTGTTAATGGGCGATGTGACTCTTGGATTTTTCTGCCCAGGCTGCTTTGAACCCCAGTCCTCAGTTCTCAGCCTCCTGAGTAGCTAGAGTTATAGATATGAGCCATCATAGTTGGGCAGAGAGATGCTTTTTTAAAGGCTACTTAAACATCCCTAGAGTCACTAACAGGAGTCAGAGTTTTATGTCATCTAAGTAAGAGTAAAGCAGAGTAAGCTAAGTTTCATTGGCACTGTATCATACTAGCTGTCAGGTTTTTTGAAAGGACGTTAGTTAATTTTTCTTTGTTTTACTATAACCTGAATGAAAACCTACCTCACAGGGTTGTTGTGAGGATTAAAGTATAAGAAAGAATCAAGCTGATAACACATGACATGTAGCTATCCACAAGGTTATACATTCACATGAAATTTGCCAACAACCATTCTGTTTGTGGATGTGAAAAGTAAAAGTCTTTCGTTGCATGAAAACTTTCACTTTTCATGGATTTGAAAATCTATTATTTCTAAGTTTTTTCCAGTCATGAAATACATAGAAATTATTGATGTTAAATAAATTTGATATCATCATTGCTATTGGTCATTTTCTATGTGCTTAGCTTCAAAATTGTAACATTAATTTGAATCTAAATTTCAAGTTGTTCCACTTTTATCTAATTCAGTATCTTATTTTTTTCTTTTTCCATTCTGGGGATTGAAATACTGGCCTTGTACAGGAAGGAAAGGAAACTAAGCTAAATCTCAAAACCCTATTTTTCCTTCAAGTAACAAGGTTCATAATCAGTGTTAATAAGATGATTCAGTTTTAGTGCCTTACAAGAAAACAAACAAAATCCAGTCTAAGGGACCTTCTAAATATAAGTAAATAGTCTGGAGGCAGAGATGCTTTATTTTTTATTATCATGAGTAAGTCTGATAAATGGCAAACGCAAAGAATGGACAGGCAATGAGGCAAGAATACGTAACTAACATAATCAACCTCACAAAAGAATAATTGCAGAATCCCCATGGGAAGCATTTCCTCTTGTCTGCCTGCAGACAGCCCTGGATAATGCTTCCTTCAGAAAATTCTGAACAAAATGAAAGAAACTTGGTCAGAGAAAAGCATAAAAGTATGATGTTAAATGTAAATTAAAGTCTGGACAAAGGTGGCTCTTTCTTATAATCCTAGCTCCTCAGAAGGTTGATGTCTAGAGAAACTTGGTTTGAAGCCAGCCTGGACAGAAAAATCTGAGAGATCCATCTAAAAAATGAGTTACTTAAATGAAAAAGCTAAGCCCAGAGGCATTTTAGGCACGTGAAAGCCCATATAAATGAAGAAGTAATTATATACATTTATAATTTCCTAATATCATTTCTTAAGCAGTTTCACAATTTTTAAGTAATCGTGCAAAATCTCTCACAATTCTTAAGGAATGAACCAATTATTTATTCTGGCTTGAGAAATTAAGATTGCAATCCCTAACAGATGATCTTTCCCTTCATTGAGCATACAGTGTGGAAAATGAGTAAAAAGTATTAGCAATGATATGTCATGAATATTATTACAGTCAAGCATTATGCTACAAAAGTCAACTGAAACACTGTATTGGGCAACTCGTAGTAACCAGGTGCTAGTGGCTCATGCCTATAATCCTAGCTAATCAGGAGGCTGAGATCTGAAAATCACAGTTCAAAGGCAGCCTGAGCAGGAAAGCCCCTGAGACTCTTATCTTCAATAAACTACTCAGAAAAAGCCAGAAGTAGAGCTGTGGCTCAAGTAGTAGAGCACTAGTCTTGAACACAGAGAGGCTCAGGGACAGAGCCAGGCCCTGAGTTCAAACCCCAGGACTGGCAATCAATCAATCAATCAATTCATCCATCAACCCTCCCTGGCCAGTTTTCTTCTAGACTTAAGCAGAACAAACCAACTGTAGCCAGTTATTAGAGGGTAAAGACTGTTATAGGTTCAAAAGCAAATTCTGTGTGATGGATTAGTGCAAAGTCGAGAAAAGTTTCAAAAGTATGTCTATAGTCTAAATATGGCCTGGTGATGTTTCATTAAGTCTACATACTGTTTTAGAAAGTAAAACTACTGAAAAGAAAGATATAAAACTATATAATATAAATATTCTGAATCATAGTTGGTATTACAAAATCATAGTAATAAAAGCAGCTTGATACTGCCACAAGAATAGACCTGAGGACCAATGGAATAGAATAGAATGCCCAGAAATAAACCCACAGACTTATAGCCACCTATTATTTGATATGGGAGCCAAAAACACAGGATGGAAGAAAGACAGCCTCTTCAATGGTGCTGGCAAAATGGGTTAGATCCTTATGTATCACCACCCTGTACCAGAATCAATTCTAAGTAGATCACAGATCTCAGTGTTTCCTGAAAATATTACAGGAAAAGAAAGGGAAAACACTAGGGTTCCTTGGCACAGGTCAGAACATCCTAAGTAAAGATCCAGATTCACAACAAATCAAAGAGAGACTGGATAAATGTGATTGCATCAAACTGAAGAGTTTCTGCATGACAAAGGACATAGCTAGCAAAATAAATAGAAAGCTCACAGAATGGGAGGTCTTTACTAGGTATTTTTTTATTCAAGTTTGAATTTAAATACTCAGATTGAATGTTGTAGGTCAAGAGAGTTCTGCCTAAACTGCTCGCCAGTTCTTCCTAATCATCACCCCTCCATATGATGTTTTACCTGTTACCTGTCTACATGTTACCTTCTAGACTAGTAAAAAGAATTAATAGAGAGCAAACATTGATGGTGGTGATGGGAGTGATTGTGTAGAGATAGTTGTGGTGGTGACGGTAATTGTGTTTCTGTCATTGTCTTCATAAGTATTACCAATACTCTGATTATTACTGTTATTTCCTCGGGGGGGGGAATGAAATCATCTCCTCAAATGTCAGATCTGTCCTGTTAGGGTTTTGTGTTTTGGGGTGTCTACCCCAAGGCCAAGTACTGCAGTTTTCAAAAATAAAAACAAAGCATATTGAAGTAACACTCAAATTATTCAAGGAATGTTTCAAGGAAAAAGCTTTTCAATAGAAACACAATCTATTGAGTTAGCTTTTATGGTGTTTGTACTACATTTAATTGAGTACAGATATATTAATGGGAATCAGAAGAAAATATCTGATGTTAAAATCTGAGAAATAGTGTTCTTAAAACAACTGAATAATATTTCCAAGGCAACATAGACTGCTGCCATAAACTTTTATTTTTTTATATATAATTTGACTAATGTGGGCTTTTCCTATTTGAGTTGCCTGGCTAATATGATTTAAACATCTTATATGCCTTTAATATTTTCACATGCATATTTGATGGGTAACATTCATGAAAAACTATGTGTAGTTTATATTCTTGATAATTAAGATAAAGGGGTCACTGTCTGAGTAATTCAAAATGTTAATTCTTCTAATTTCCAGAAAAGCTAAATAATCTGCCTTGCTCTCTGTATTTATAAGGAATTTCTTAAGTGGATATTTTACCATGGATTAGGGAAGATTTTAGAATGTTTTTAGTTTTTGACTGTATCAGAACTCCAAGATGATGATAAATTACATTTTACTTTCATATAACACTTGTCCCATTCTTACCACCTTTCTCACACAGTATATAATTTTGTCCTAGATATTATGTGGTTGAGTATTATCTGTGATTTCTTCATAAAGACTTTAAACTAAGTTTTGATTCATGTTATAGATTTATTATCAAGTCTGTTAATGATACATTACATTTTTACTTATTGATAACAGACAGAATTAAGAATGAAACTTTTCTTTGTCTTAATTGAGTGGCTATAATAAGAGAGACATAAGTCTTGCTTTTTCTAAGAACTTCTAAAAATTGATCAAAGAAATTAACTATCCAGATCACAACATAGCTTTAACTTAATCCTCTTTAGATTGTTCTACTCCAGAAGCGATTATTTATACTTTGGGTAAAACAGATTCTTTTGAAACTTGTTTTGAAATACAGGAATTGATAACCAGGTTGGGTTGGCAGTTTGAATATTGAATTTTGAAATATCTGACCAAAAATATTAAAAAGGCAAGTTTTACAGCAACCAATCAGTATAACTGTTTGAGTGTCTACTTAATTTCTGAAATTGTAACTAGTTGATTGGGTTTTTTGAATCCATGTCCATAAGCTTATCCACAAGCCCACTTGAACTACTTGTTGCTTCATGCCTTACACTTAGGTTCCTTTTGTATTTGCCTTGGCAGCAAGCTTGCTAAAAAACGCAAAGATGCCATGGGAAACACACGGCAGGAGATGACTCACATGGTGAATGCAATGGATCGAAGTTATGCCGATCAGAGCACTCTGCATGCAGAAGATCCTCTCTCTATAACCTTCATGGACCAGCATAATTTTAGTCCAAGATGTAAGTTCTTCTATTAATATTTTAACAAATAACCTGAAATCTATTACATTTGTTTAATATTCTTCCTATTATCTTTTGAGTAATGAAAAAGAAACAAAGAGAGGAGAAAGAGCTAAAAAGAGTAAAATGAGAAGGTAGTATGGAACTTACAAGAAGCTGATGTTTGTTCCTGATACTGGATTTGGTTTAACTCCAGACTGTTAAACCTTTATTATTAAATCATAAGAAATATTCCAAATATATACTACTCATAATGTTAGAGCCTTAAGTGAAAATGATTTCCTACATATAATTGGACCATGTCAGAATTTATATTAATTTTTCCATTAGCAGCTTCCTTAACGTAAGGGTAAGTTTCTTTTGAGTGAGAAGTAGTAAATCTTTCCTAGGTACTGATAGTATGGATAAGATTAAATTCTTGGAGAATTAAAATACCAAAAGGTTAACTAAAAGAAAGATTAGTTTATAGGCTCCTAAATATCTAGTGTAGAATCTAGATGTGTGCTTAAATTGGGGGATTTGAAAGAATAGTAAAATCTACCCGTCCATCGCTCCTAAGAATTACTAATGTTGTTTGTGAAGGCAATGTTTTGAATATATTTCTTCGGGAGTACTGATTAATGGCAGATGATTTGATAATTATCTCAGAATTGATAGTACTCTTAACCTTTTTCTATGAATTTGAATTCTGCTCCATAGTGCCTCTGTTTATGTTAACTTAATTAAGTTTAATTTACATGATTTTGTTGCTTTAGATACTTGTGTGAAATTCTCCCTCATGTAGATTTACAACAAATAGAAGTTAGAAATGCTTTATGAATCATTTTATAATTTGCTTGTAATTTAATCATGAAAGGGTCTTTCTGATCTGTTTGATCTCTTGTTTCACTGATAAATTGCAAGGGAGAATATAAAATATTGCTAATATTAAAAGCAAATTTAACTGAAAATATATATGTATTATCTCAAAGTGCTTGATTTAATGTTTAATCAACTCTACAGAAAAAAAATTCTGATAACAAAATTTTTCTGCAGGTTGTGTCTCTACAGTACTAGAAAGTTCCAATTCAGCTATATAATTATAAATATCTACTTAAGAACTTAGGAAAAGAATTAAATCTGCTTTATACAGTTAACCATAAATATTTATTTGAAAAAATATAAGATAAATATTCCTATAAGTACCTTACATGTGAAATATATAAAGTGTACTTTCTTGTCTCCTAATTTTATAATATTTATAATGTCAAGCTGAACCTTCTGGTTTTTCAATTGAACAGAGTAACAAACTATAATTACAGAATTTTCTTGATGGTTTGAGATCACCAAAGCTGCAAGTGAGAGTTTTACCCTTGCAGGTATCCAAGCAAGTTTAGTAATTATATTTCTTAAGAAACCATAAGTCTATTATAAGGAGAAAAATCAGAATACAATTTTAGAGAAGTATATTCCTTCATGAGCTTTGTTTTCCTACAGTGCCCAATGATCCACTTGTGCCGACTGCTGTGTTAGGTGAGGCCCTAAATCTTTATCACCATTCTCATTTTATTTTATTTTATCTGCATGGATCACAACTCTTTGCATGGGTTGTAGATTTGTCCACATAGTAATGACTTATAGAAAGCATCTTGATACTGAAAATAAACACCCACGGTCTTTTCAGAGAGAGCATCTCTGTTCTACAGAATCAGATCTAATGGATTTCAAATTAGCGAAGTATACTGTTTATGAAAGCACTGTATTCTTCAGTTCATGATTCTGTTAGATTCAAAGCAAAAGTTCTGTAGCATCATCTGTTCATTTCTAATGTTAACATACCCAGAGAGAAAAACTCAAGTGTCTCTGCTCTCATAGGGGCTTAATAATAACTGAATACCTAGCTTATTTATTTATTAGCCTATGGAAAGGGAATTTTTTAAATCCTCCTAATTTTATAACAACAAAACAATACATTTATAAGTTAGCACTGGGACTATGTGCATTTTCCTTCATTGTCTTTATTGAGAATTGACAAATCCAGGTAAAGTTGTAGAATATTGATATAGGGGTTAGCATTACATTAACTATAGTATTTTCTTTACGATCCTTGGCTTACCTCTACGTAAATGCTAAGACCATTGATTTTGTTAGTGATTATTCCAACATTTTTAAATGCAAAATTGCATTCATATTTAAATTTAGCCATATAGCTTAGAATGAAGTGCTTTTTTTAACTTTCAAATTGTACCATTTCTTGACGAGTTATACATTAGTGACTCATGACCAACTTGTCTACATGTCTATGAGTTCCACATCAGTTTTGCCTTCATGTTCTGATGAAGATTTAATGAAAAAGATGTGGATCCACTGATCAAAAATATCTTTAAGATTCCCAGATATCATATTTGTTATTTATATCTAATTTATCCAAACATGAAAGCTTTAACTTACACTTGGGCCCTTGTTTATTTTTTAATCTATTTATTAAATGGCTAACTTCATTATAAAATATTTGGAGTAATATAACTAATTTCAGTTTCATAAAATATATACCCCTTAGTGACAAAGCTATTTCTTTAAAATCTCTTTTATATTTGATATGAAGAATACATATTTTAAACCATCTGTTGTTCACTTCCATGTGTACCACGTCAATAGTGGGAAAGAGGTGAACTGAGTGGTTTGTCATAACAAGTAGCCTGGTTATGGAGAGAGGATCCATGAGTTAGAGTCAACTTTGTAGAGCACTGTAGAATGTTGCCAGTACCCAGTAGGTAAACCAAGTTCAATGAAAGAAAGAAAAAAAAATGCCTGAATATGAACGGTTCCATTATCATAATTTTCTAAGAACATCTAGAATCAGGTCCAAATCTCAATGCCTCTAGACTTCGTATATGAATATATTGTAAAAAAAAATACCTTACATCTTTATTTTTCCAATTTTTTAAATACCACAATCATGTCTACCATAGCAGTTCTGAGAGGGCTGTAAAGAGAAAATGAGATGACAATGCCTGTTCACAAAGTTGAAATAAGTATTATTAAACTTTTCCCTGTAAAAATAGATATTCATGCAAAGGAAGGGTAGAGTTAACACAATGGAGTCATAAGACATATCCATATAATCTCCCATCATGCTTTTTATTTTAGTTTGAAAATAAAGCTGGTTGCTTTGGTTTTTTTTAATTGGCATTCTTTAAAAGTTAAGTCACTCATTAATCATCCTAGATGTGGAAATAATTTGTTATATTTTCATCATTCTTTGAGTCATTGTGTTTATAATTTTGCATCCGATTGATTTTGTATTTATAAAGCAATTTTTGAAGTCACTTCAAATATTGCTTAGCATTAATTTCTACTTAGTTAATTAAAGGGTCTCGGAAACTTTTCATATTGATTCATATTTTTGTTTTTGTTTTTTTGTGTGTGTTTTACTGCTTCATTGGGTTTAAGTCCCTATAACTGGTAAGTGTATTACAAAGAACTCTAGAAAACCTTTCAATGAAGTATTTAGTCACCGTTATTATTCTTAAATGTATAATAAGGATAATGATTAGTACATGTACCCTCACTAGTACTCACATTATTAGGTGGTTTAATGAGGTGGAAGTGTATTAAGATTAATAATTCATTTGTGATGATCTTAAGACCTTACTGCTGATTGTACTACTGTATTAAAGCTTAATGCAACATAAAAGGCACTGTCTATTTCATATTTGGATAGGATGATCTGTAAGATTTGCAATATGGTTGAGTTTTGTGTTTTTCTCTAAGCTTTTTAACAACTGTAAGAATTTTCCTCCAGCCAGTAGCCTGTAAGTTTTAGGATTGCTCCTCAGAGCTTCAGACCCCTGGGTAACTTATTTCACCTTGGATAGTCCTCTATTTTGCTTCCCTGACACTATAAGTTCTCTTTATTTCTTGTCTTAAACTGTTTTTTCTGTGGGAGCGCCTACACTAGTTGCTATAGAATTTAATTTTACTGGTGAGATGTACATATTCTTAATGTCAGTCTATGTAATATTTTAGCAAATACAGATCAATTGACTATAGCCTAAGAAGGGGTAATGTGCCTGAATAATGTTTGCTAGCAAATGTTTGTGCTGTAGAGGGTTGGGCAAAGCCTGAATAAAAGACATGAATATTTTAGGGTGGTAGGACACAGCAGAATGCACTAGTTTTGTTTTTTCAGTGTGGTATTTTTGGGAATGAATGCTAAGAAATACATTCAGCTTAATAAGAGAGAGTAAAGATAAATGCAATCAAGCTAAATTATAGAGTCACACAAATCTGATTGTAGGGTTCTTTTTTTTTTCCTCCTCCAGGAAGAAAAAATGTTTATCATGGGGACAACAATTCATTTTTTGCCATATCCTATTTGTAGAGTTGGTGATAGTACAGGCAAATGTACCAGCACTTGAAATATGTTAACTGTTAATTAAATATCGTTCTCTTCAGTATGCATTATCATTAAAAACAAAAGTTCCCCTATGAGTGTACTTTCTTTTCTGTTAATGAGTATGACAGTCTAATGCTTTTCAAAGTGACACCCCTTAAGACACTTGTTTTTTTTTTTCTTAAGTGGTAAGTTTAAATGTGATAAATATAAGCATGCTTATCATTGTAATGATTAGTACTTTTGGTCATTAAAATACTGTTTATTCTTCATAGGCAAAATGTTCTTGTTCTTTTCTTCCTCCTTATGACAGAAAGAAAACTGAATATTTATTTCAATTTTGACATAACACAATTGAGATGGAGGGGGTCCTACACTTAAATGTGGGTGGTAAGGGATTCAACTAATTTTAACCAATCTGTTAACTGGGATATTTATTGAACTACTGATATGTACAAGAATTTTTTAAAAAAATAATAGCATCACACTGTCTCTACACTTTCAGCATTCAGGGTTTAGGAATGAAAATAGTCAAGTAAATAAATAATTAACATATAAGATGAAATGACATGAAACCTATAGAAAATTAAGTAACCTTAATTCTCATCACTCCAAAGGGCCTGGGGAGGTACCCACAGTTTGCTCCAGCTCTCCCTGGTTTCTCTATGTGGTGGCCAAAAGAGTCAAAGTATATTAACAATGATGTCAGTAATAATAAGGAGAAACTAAGGGGCAAAGACAATATAAATATGTGTGTTAGCTGACTAGCAGGCCAAGTGGGTCAAGAGATGATCCTATCAGTACTCAAAATTCCCCACTAGGGTGTGTGTGTTGTGTTAAGAAGCCTAAGACTGTAGTGCCATAAGAGCAAGAACAGCCATCAGGAGAATGGGTTGCTTAAGTCAGGCCTCTGAGGGAGGTTGGGCTCTGATTGGAAACGAGTTTGTTCAACTCAACAGTGAAAGCACATTTCCAATTGACAACTTGGTCTTTTGGTCACCAACTTGTACTGCTTAGGACTACAGGTACAAAGAACAGTAAGAACTCAGCTAAACCTCCTCTTTGTGGACACTTGGTGAAAACATATGTCTCCCTACATCTCACAATATCTGTTGTCTTCCTGATATACCTGTCACATGCTCTGACTTCAAACCCTGAGCTGAAGTGCAAGGCTAATAAATTTTGTCTTTATGGGGTTGCTGCTCTAGGCCTCTTTGGGCTGATATTTCTTGCCCTTCCTTCTGTTATCTTAAAAAAAAAAAAGTCTCTTTGCTAGATGTATATTAAACAAGGTAACTTTATTTCTTTTTTTAATCTTCTGTGATATGAAAAATGCCAGATGAGAATCACAGTGCCACGGCAGAGTCCAGTCGCCTTCTGGATGTACCTCGCTACCTCTGTGAGGGAACAGAATCACCTTACCAGACCGGGCAGCTGCACCCAGCCATCAGGGTAGCTGACTTGCTGCAGCACATTAACCTCATGAAGACATCGGACAGCTATGGGTTCAAAGAGGAGTATGAGGTAAATGCTTCAGTACTGTGATAAATTTGATTTTTAACGTGATAATGGAACTTAGCCTAGGGGGAATGTAAAACTCTATGGCTTCTCTAGTCCAGTAGTTATGACCATACAATCAAATGTCTGGGGAAGAGGAATGAAATTTGAAAGAAATATAACTAGCTCTACATTCACTTTTGGATTGTATTATTTGTTTTCATTTATTGTTAAACGCATGTCATTCGTTAGACCTTCCTCCTCATTCCTCACTTACAAATCCGTTAGCAAGATACCTGGAGTTTCATTGCATCATTATGGATTCTGAGGCTTGAATGGTTTCATTAATGGGTTTTTCTCTACTGTCTCTTTGTTAACTGATCCTCTTATGAAAATGAAGTTATGTGCTTTCAATATGCTACTTGCCACTTAGTTTAATTTTGTTTGCTATTAGCTAAGAGTGTCGGAGAGGAAATTGCTCAGCAAATCAGCACACAACATTCAGATGGCTAGGGGAAAATGCCACTTACAATACTTCTCTTTCCCACTCAAACCAAAATACCAGGATTTATTTTACAAAGGAAGTGATTTGAACCCAACATCCCTACAAACAGAAAAAAAAAAGAAGACTTTCCATTTATACCTTTCACATACTGAGAAATGTCAATCTGCAGTATGGAAGCTTGTCCATATGTCTGCCCTATATCTACCATATTGTATGCATGTTTTAGACATAAAGGATACAACCAAACTCCATCCAACTTTATGAAAGAGAAATCATTTAAATTCTACATGTTACCTACAGACTACTTGTGTGCCTTAATTTGGGAGTGAATTATCTTTCAATTTTAAATATTGATTTTTACATATATGCTGAAACATTATACTTTAATAATAAAATAAGTTCAGGGATTGCAATATTCTGCCAGAACTGTTTTTTTTTTATTCACTTCATGTGAAGTCCTGTGTACTTTGCTTCAAAGACCACTGGCTCTTTGTTGAACCCCTCATTTCCTGTATTGAGCAAAGTTGAAGTTTTTCTGCAAAAGGAAATCCTTACCCATATTTTTAATTGTTACATACGCTAAGCAAACCAATCAGCAAATTCATCTGTTCCTAGATTCTTGGAGAAAGAGACTCTTTATGTGTCATATGGTCTCTTGTTGCAGAGACTCAATCTTGTGCATGATTTTCAAAGAAACTAAAATGTGATGTATTGCACATGATTAAATGAATAATTATATGTGGTTTTCTCCTGTTATAAATGCTAATGAGCTCATTTGAAAGATACTCATTAAAATAGGTTTTGCAATTTTTTGCTGCATTATCACTCACTGTATTTTGAAAAGAATGATCATTTTCTCCTTGGGTCTCACAAAGTTAGAGCTACATTCATTTGAAAACTTTCAAGATCTTGTTTTCTATAAAGTTTTGTTTTGTCCTTTATTTGAACTCAACTCAATCCAGGATGAACAAGAATGAGTCCCACAAGCCAGCTATGAGGTCTGAGAAAGAAACTTGTTTCCTGCTGTAGGAATCCCCTTTACCCTGAGAAAGCAGCTTTTACTATTTTAATCTTCATAACCGATAAACCTGTTTTGAAAAATGGAATTAATTTTAATCTACTTTTTCCCCCTTTAGAGCTTCTTTGAAGGCCAATCAGCATCTTGGGATGTAGCAAAAAAAGATCAAAATAGAGCAAAAAACCGCTATGGGAACATTATAGCATGTAAGTTCTCATAACATTCTTGGTGAATTTAAATATCATGTGTACAAAAATAAATCATGACTGGCAATTTTTCCTTACATGATTTTACATTTTCAGAAAATACTAGAGGGTTATTTCTAAACATTTCTTACTAGATAGTAATCTATTTAATATTAAAAACAGCACTGGCTATTAACAGTGACTCAGGATTGCCATAATCCTCGTTAATTAATTTGATAAAACCCCTGACCTGATGAAGAGAACTTGCTGTTTGATTTCATATTTGTGCATCAAATAGCTAAGAATATGAAGATAATGAAAAGGACTTTTTTCAGTTATAAATTACTGAATTTACTCCTGTAAAATTTATAATTTACTCCTATAAACTACATTCAAGGCTGGAAGTATATTCTTTCCACATAACTTTATTCTTTACCAGGAGCTGAACTCTAGTACATCATTTTAGGCTTCCTCCTGATTAGGTCTTCACATTGTATACATTAGAAAATTAAAGTCATCATCATTGGAAACCACATTACAGTAAGGACTAGATAGTTTAACTTGTAATTAGCTTACAATCTCCTTAAACCATTCTATTCTGAATTTACATTATTTTAAATTATCTAAAGTACCTCAAAATGTAACCTTGAACTCTTAAGAATGAAATATATGCAGGGCTCAAAATTCATCCCCTAGTTCTGTTTAAAATCATCTTTAAAGAAAAAAAGAAAAAGACATTAAACCAGCCAGGCATCAGTGGCTCACACCTGTAAACCTAACTGCTTTGGAGGCTGAGATCTGAGGATCATGGTTCAAAGCCAGCTGGAGCAGAAAAGTCTGTGAGACTCTTCTTTCCAATTAATCATCAAAACATCAGAAGTGATGCTGTGGCTCAAGTGGTAGAACATACTAACCTCTAGTTGATAAAGCTCTGAGTTTAAGCCCAGGACCTTCCAAAAACAAGCAACAACAACAACAAACACAACTATTAAAATCATCCTAAAAAACAATAGTAGGTGTTAAGCAAGTTCAAGTTTACAGTCAAGTCCCTGTCTCAGACATCTTCTGTAGACAAGCTGCTTTTTTTCTTTTCTTTTTAAAACCAACTCTGGGCCTGAGTCTGGGTGCTATTCCTCAGCTCTTCAGCTGAAGGCTAGCCCTCTACCACTTGAGCCACAGCACCACTTCCAGTTTTGTGAGTGGTTTATTGGAGATAAGAGTCTCATGGACTTTCCTGCCTGGTCTGGTTTTGAACCACGATCCTCAGATCCCAGCCTTCTCAGTAGCTAGGATTATAGGCGTGAGCCACTGGCAACCAGCTCTCCACAAGCTTCTTATCTCTGGAGATACAAGTCAGTATGCCTCTGTTCTCGGTTATCATTGTAATAAGTAATGAGTTCATTATTGTTCTTGCATTTCCTTAAATGGCTGATTAGATAGTCGTAAATTATGCATGGAGTATTGGCAAGTATGGATTGCAGAAACTGAGTTACTTTAAATCTCTCCTAGTGACATTGTCTGGAGAGGAATATTAATAGCTTTCATTTTATTATTTAAACATTTTAGATGATCACTCTAGAGTAATTTTACAACCTGTGGAGGATGATCCTTCTTCAGATTACATCAATGCCAACTACATAGACGTAAGTAATTTTTATAGCATGTATTTCTATAGTATGGCCACATTATCAGCTTGTAACTGAACCCTTTTGCTTATATTACGTATAAAGTGATTGCTGCCTTTTAAAATAAAGAACAAACTGTACACTTTGCCCTGTTCTACGTCCCAGTACTTACTGATGTTGTTGTGCTTTCTTTCACACCTGACTTTGGTTTGGGCTGTAGATTTGGCTGTACAGGGATGTAAGTACCACTATATGTAAATAACAACACTCTATTGTGAATATTTAATATGAATATATTCTTAATTGCAGTTGTTACTAATGCTTACTAGTTACTTATGCATGCTTCACCTAATTAGTCTCATACAGTATATGTCTCATTTTTTTGTAATTCTTGCACATGTGTGAAGATCTATTTTACCTCCTTCCCTTTCCTCGTTTAGAAAACAGGATCATTTTTTTGGCTTCGACAATTTATTACGTACTTGGGTTTTATTTGTTGATGATTTCTGTTTCTGGCTTTTATTCTTTACCCTTCCCCGAACACATGTGAGAAGCTGGATAGTATGGATAGTATGATGTGTATTGGAGTTTCTGAATTTTTTATTTTGCATTTGACCTTGGATGTTTAAAGTAAGCAGGGATAATATTTTGTGGTATGTAGTGTTGGCTTGTAAAGCAGTAGAACTAATCAAAATAATTACTAAGTTGCAATTGTAAAATCCACACATCACACACATACATTATAAAAGAAAAGGAAAATTTGTGTACCTCAGTCACCTGTTAAATTTAGGTTACATACATATGTACAGGTAAATTCTTTAAGGGAAAGTCATTGCCAAGTGAAATATAAAACATGCAAAGAGACAATATATTACATCCTATGTAGGGAGGATAGGTTCTTTGGCTCTACTACCTCATTCAAAATCACCCTGAGAATCTAGCGAAAGTTGCTCCTCTGTGACTCAATTCCTCATCTTTACAGTGGGGGAAATAAAAGTAGTACTAACTTCACTTGTTAAGGGAATTAAAAGAAGCATGCATTTTAAATGTTCAGACAATACCTACCAAGTGTCAAGCTCTCATTCGGCTTCAGCTACTGTTTTTACAGTTAAAATGGAGGTGCACATTTCTACAGCAAACTGTAGAAGTGCAGTATTACAGCACTGTGTGTAGCTTTTATATGTAAAATATGAAATATAACAACCAATTTTTTCTAATTCATAAAATTAGAAAATAATTTTTGTAGGCCTTTATACAGTTATTTTGATAGTTACATTTATTTAATTGAATTAATGATTAAGTATAATTCGGTATGTCAGTTAAGTTGCTGATTATAATCTTATATTCATTCAATATCTAAATTTGGCATGTCTTATGGACACTAAGATAGTTATTAATCTTTTTTTTTTGAGGTCCTGGGATTTGACCTCAGGACCTTGTGCTAACTACAGAAGCACTCTACTGCTGAGACATGCCCCAGTCATTTTTGGTGCTTAGATTTGAGACAGAGTCTTATTTCCTGCAGAGGCAAAGCCAGGAATGTGATCCTCCTATTTTAGTCATCTCACGGTAGCATGATGACAAACATAAGTCATTACTCCTAGTTTCTTCCATTGAGATAGATTTTTACGCATTTTTTCTTCCCAGGCTGGCTTTAAACTTGAATCCTCCAGATCTCATCCTCTGAAGAAGTTAGAATTGTAGACATGAGCCACAAATATTTGACTATTGGTGTACTCTTAGCCTTAAAAAAAATCACATTTCTTTGACAATTTATAATTGTTCTTAGCAACTTAGTTTAACCTGAGTTTTCTGCCAACACATAAACTGGAGCCTAATTACAATATTGTTTTATGGATCTGATGGTCCAACTATATTCTCAATAAGTCTTGTTATCCAGTCTTTCTGCTAAAACTCCACTGTGTTTTGGCTGATAACCACACAATATTATAATTTCCTCTCCTAATCACTTATTATGCTTGAAAGCCACTTGAAACTGGTAATTATTTCATTAAAAACCTTACAGTTTATAAAGCTTGAATGTTTTTCCATAAAATATCTGATGTTGGCATATTAAGAAATAGAGATCTTCAAAATTTGCAGCAGTATAATGCACATTATTAAATTTTAGGTTGGGAAGCCCAATTAGCAGGTATTTAAAGGTGTATTAAGTTGCCCACACCAAAATGTGGACATAGTACAGACTGTCACTAAAGACTGTGATAAAATTGAAACAAGTGCACAACCTAGCTCCATCATCTCAACAGTACTTTTTAACTTATTATTTACTGCAGGTCAATTCATTACAGAGCAATTAGCAACTCATTTCTTGTCGGGAATAATTTATTGGAACAATATTTCATGTTTAGATAAGCTTTTGGCACAGTGGGAGGAAAATACAAAACTTGTTCAGGATAAGGTCCACTTTGGAAACTCTTCTTTGTGGATGCGTGCATCTGTAATTTTGTGTATGCAAATCACCATTACCAACACACAACAAAATTCTTTTATGCAGATTTCTGAACATGTTACAGAACAGAAATAATTATCTAAGAAAACCTTAGCAAGATTTTGATTTGAGGCATGCATGCATTGTCCAGCTCTAACATTGGAATGTTCTGTTATTTTTATTTATTTTATGGTTCTAATATGTCCTCGTCCATTTGTAATGCAGTGTGTTGTACTTTTGGATGATGAAATAAGAATTAATATTTTAAACACAGTTTTGCTAAGTGTGAATGACTAAAGATTAACATGAAGGCATAAACAACTTAGTGAAACTAAACAAAATCTATGAAGGTATTCCATAGCAATCAAAACTCAATTAATTATACAATATATTATATTCTAATCTGAACTCTTTTTAAATATTCAATTTTTGTTCTATGTTTACTTTTCAGATGGCATAGGTTTGAGAAGTGAACTGTGTGTTCACTACTCATTTCTGGACTTTTTCTATAACTTAATCTTAACAGGTGGTTGTCTTCATCTTTTTATGCCTTCATTCATTTGTTTCTGGTACTGATGTAAAATGATAACCAATTTGATCTCCTATTTTAGGGCTACCAGAGACCAAGCCATTACATCGCAACCCAAGGTAAAACTTTTTTTTCTTAAATACTGTAGCTAAGATATAGTTGGAATATTTATCCATGTGGGATTATTTTTCATTTTGATAAGAATTAAATGGAACACTGTCAGTCCTTAAAATGAGACAGGACTTGTTGCATTTTGTAGTACAATATTTTATCTGTGTAAGCTTATATAAATTTATGCTTGATTTATTTTGTAGAATTAAAATATGGGGCTGGATGGATGGTTCAACTGGTAGTGTGCCTATCTAGCAAGGCCCTGAGTTTAAACCCCAGTACCAACCAAAAAAAATAAAAAGAAAAGTAAATGTGAAGTTGCTGGGTGCCTCAGAAATTTGGTCCTTTGTGTCCAGAGAGCTCAAAGGACTAGTGAATAGTGCTGGGAGAGGAATTACTGATGATAAGGAAGTGGACTCTTCATATGTAAGGTCCCTGTCTTCCAGAAGACTTTTGTCAGCTGGAATCTAATAATACCCCAGACCAATATTGTTATAATGAAATATTACACTGTCTTCTAGCAATTTCTTGGCAAGTCAAGATAAGACAGAGCTGGAGGGAATTTCAGCAAGTTTATTTCTCATGAAAAATAATAACAAAGTTAGTAAAGCTTACAGAGGTTCACTGGAAATAAAAGTATCCAAGCAAGGAAATATATACTTTGTTATTTCTCCAAATGGACTATTGACAATCAAAAAAGAAACTCGCAGATCTGTTTTGTGCATAAAGAAACTAAAACAAAAGCCTATATCTGGTTTTGTTTGTTCATGTGTTTGTTTGTCTTCGTGGTTGTGGAGCTTGAACTCAGGGCTGGGGCATTGTCCCTGAGCCTCTTTGTGTTCAAGGCTAGCATTCTACCACTTGAACCAGGAGGCACTTCCCTGATTTGTTTTGTTTTGCTTTTTAAATAGAGGTAATTTTCTAAGTGTTTAATTGCATACTATCTAAAGTTTAAAAAGTCATCTAGAGGGGAACTAGAATAACAAAACACTGAAACAAGGACACAGGATAGCCCATTGCAACAATGATATCCACTAGATAGTATACTGGAAATGAACCTTACAACTTGGGGGGTTGGGGGTAGGAGTGTAGGAGGTGGGGGAAGAAGAGATGGTGGGAAAACAACAGGGGGTAACAATGCTTGACAAGAAATGTACTCATTACCTTACTCATGTAACTGTAACCCCTCTGTACAGCATCTTTACAATAAAATAAAATTTAAAAAATAACTAAATAAAAATAAAAAGTCATCAGTGGGCTGAAGTTTTCTAGTACTAATCAAAGTGTAGTCTAGCCTATGGTTTTGTAGCTTGAGGATAATCCAATATATTAGGATGTGTCCTATGTAAGGACACATCAACTTCATCAACTTCTAACTATGTACTAATGATGGAAAATTATTTAGCTAGTAGTTAAATAATAATAATTTGTTGCTAATTTGTTATTAATTGGTGATTTATCATTACTGATAAATAATTTGTTAGGAATTAATATGCTGATTGGTTAATGGTAAAATAAAAGATCTGTTTTTCATCTAAAGGCCCACTTGATTGACTTAGTAAAAGATCCTAGGACATAGTAATTCTTTTTAACTGGGAATTAAAGGCATGTTGAAGAAAAAAGAAAAGCAACTTACATATGCCTGTGTTTTCCTGTGTGATAAATGTATCTATGAACTAAATTTAAGTCATTTCATTAACATTTAGGCTTTATCTTTTTAGTTTATTTCATTTACTGTGCTTCTTACTGACTACAAGATTTGTCTAGCATCATAATAAAACTAATTAACATAAAATATATAATGAATGTCTTTGTAGGCCCAGTTCACGAAACGGTGTATGATTTCTGGAGGATGGTCTGGCAGGAACAATCTGCCTGTATTGTTATGGTTACAAATTTAGTTGAAGTTGGCCGGGTAAGAGAAAAAGATTTCTTTTAATAATAAATGAAAGTATAGTTGAGAGGCAGCCCATGAGTTGATCAAAAGAAAATGTCATCAAATTGTGTAAAAATAGTTCATCAGCATACTATTTCAAATGAATGCTTCTAAAGTGGACCTTATTTGGCAGAGAATTATTTGATGTCTCATTAATTGTTTAAAGTATGTACTAAATTACATTCTAAAATTATTATTCTAAAATTATAATCTAAAATCTAATTCCATTACTATGTTTATATGTTTTTATGGAGTATATAAATCTATTAGGTAACTTTTTTTTTCATTTGTTAATGTGTTTCTAACTGGATTTTAATGGTAACTTAATCTGTTACCTGGAACTTAGATACTCTTGACTAATTTTTACTATGTATTTATGTCTACCTGTTCTTTTTGGTCATGTAGGTTAAATGCTATAAATATTGGCCTGATGATACTGAAGTTTATGGTGACTTCAAAGTAACCTGTGTAGAAATGGAACCACTTGCTGAATATGTGGTTAGGACATTCACCCTGGAAAGAGTAAGTACTGGGGAATTTTAGTAAGAATATCTATACTGAAATGTTTTCCTCTGAAAAATCTCTATCATGTTTTGCAAAATTCATTCACTCATTCACTCCCTTGAGACCTAACTCTGTGTCAGCTCTATTTTCTAAACCTTGAGACAAAGAAAAATCTCTACTCTTGTGGAAAAATAGTAATAGTGTATCACCCATCTATTAATGGGAGATGGGTAATAATTATTTTTTAAAAGGAAATATGTTATATAACATGAAAAGTGCAATGATATAAAAAAAGAAATAGTACTGGAAATTCAAATAGGGAATATTAGGGCTGGGAAGGTGGCTCAGTGGTAGAGCGCTTGTCTTGCATGCATGAGGCCCTGGATTCGATTCCTCAGCACCACATAAGCAAAAAGAAAAAAGCTGGAAGTGGCGCTGTGGCTCAAGTGGTAGAGCGCTAGCCTTGAGCTGAAGAGCTGAGGGGTAGCACCCAGGCCCAGAGTTCAGGCCCCACAACCGGACCCAAAAAAAAAAAGTTTCTCAAATAGGGAATATTATGGAGGTAAGGTAAGAAAGGTTTTACAGTTTCAAAACAATGATCAGGAAGGACTTCTTGAAAGCAACATGAACAAGAACCTAGAGAAAATAAGAATTTGATAAATTGTCAAGGGAAGAGTATGTGCATGTGTGTGCACACGTGCATGTATGTGTATGTGTGTGTGTATGTCATTTGTGATAGTGAGACTGTCTAAGAAGATTGAAATAGGGTATGACATTAGGGGGTGAATAAGATAAATACCATGCACCTGTGAATTGCAAACTGTAATTCACTGAAAACTCATGAATGAAATAAAGGGTAGTATGGATGGGAAGATGAGAAAAAACTAAACGCCTTGAAGAATTGTCATACACTTAAAAAGCTTTATGACAGGAATGTAAAACAGGTCCTGTTGAGGACAGGACTGTGAGTCCTAATGGGCAGGAGAGGGAGAACAGAGTGGGTGAAAGAGTATGGATATGTCAAAATACTTTATCTGTGTGAAGATAGAACAGTAAGGCCTTTTGAGATTGGTTTGGGAAAAAGTTAAGCAGAAAGAGGAGTTAAAAAAAGGTTTGGGAGAAAGGACATTACTTGAGAGGAAGACTGTAACAGGAAGAATGATGTAGAAAATGGAAGCAGAACTTAGACATATACAGTGCTACAGAGAACAACTTTACATTCATAAACTGCTTTGTTAAGTAGCAACACCTTTGTACAACTAAAGATAATAAAATTTTTTAAAGAAAAGCTTCATGGGTTTGACCACACAAATGTTTTACCTGTATCAAATAAATAAATAAATTTATAAAAACAAGTGCTTACCTTGCATGCATGAGGCCCTGGGTTCGATGCCTCCACACCACATAAGCAGAAAAAGCCAGAAGTGGGACTGTGGCTCAAATGGTAGAGTGCTAGCCTTAAGCTGAAGAGCTCAGAGACAACACCCACACCCAGAATTCACACCCCACAACCAAAAAAAAAAAAAAAAGTCAAAAGACCACATGTGTGATTATCAATACCATTGATTAGTGTCTCTGAAGACAGGCTACCTATTAAAAATTTTTACACTTAAGCCATATTAGCAGTTCCCATCTGTAGTCCTCACTTCTCAGGAGGCTAAGACCCAGAAGATCATGGTTCAAACTAGACTAGGCAGAAAAGTCAGTAAGACTCCATCTTTAGTTTACCCACAAAATCCAAGAGTGGAGATAAGGCTCAAGTGGTAGAGCAGGAACCATTAGCAAGCAAGCTGAGTTCAAACCCCAGCAGCCATATCAAAAAAAAAAAAGTGTTTAACCTTCTACGCAATATGCTATTTTGTAACCTCATATAAACACGTAACTTAAGAAAAAAGAGTAACACTGTTAGTATTGAGATATGTATTTTACATGTTGGTAATCATAGTTAAATTTTTTAAACCCTCTATAAATCAATAAAGCATTGAATACTTTAGTCTTTAAAATATTGAGACTTCTATGCAGTTTATACCTTTTGTAAGCCAATCCTTGGGGAATTACTTATTTCATTTGCAAATTCTTTGAAATTAAAATGAAGACTTTGAAAATTATAGATCACTATAAACCCCTAGCAGTAATAGTTAAACATACTATCTAGAAATAGCATTCTTTACCAGTGATTTTGAAAATAATCCCCTTACATAAAAAAAGTGATTAGAGAAAAACACTAAGGAAATGGTAGCAGTGTACAGAACAACATAATTACAATGATCAGAACTCAAAAATATAAATGGAAATTTCTTAGGCATATTGTAGTAGAAGAATATAAGCAATGACAGAGGAGATTTTAATCACTTAGCTTGATTTAATGAATAATTAGAACTCATTCTTATTTAAAGAAGTAGAATATGCATTTTCTTAAATCTATGTCAAATAATCATACTTTAAAAATTATTCATGAATTTAGTCATGAAGAAAACTATTTCACTGGCACTAACAGTAACCTACAAATTTACAAATTAGCTTTTTAGAAGTCATCAAACCCTTGTTTGAATACATTGTTGGATGATTTCCTCAAAACTAAAAATTGTATTTAAAAAAAGAATTCATGGTGAAAAAAATTGTATTGCATAGACCAACTTTGCCTCATTATTACTCTCTAAGAAAATGATATATGTTCATAAATGACTTCTTTCTTGAAAGCCATTTAAATCCTGTTGAAAATCATAAAATTAGAAAACCAGAAAACATCAATATAACAAAGAAAAAATAAATATAGTTGTGGAATACAAACAAGAAAAACATAAATTAAATTCCTAGTTTCTTGAGATCAATAAATTGACTAAATCACTCATTTCTAAACAAGGCAAAATGAAAAAATCATAATATTCTATAAAGTCAACTCAGTCAGGAAACACAAAGAAGACCTAATGACAGTTTTGTATTTACTATTAGAAAAAACTATAAATGAAAATATTACATATGAACTTCAGTGTAGATTTTATTCATCTTATTCCGGAGACAAATTTTAACTCAAAAAGTTGGCCCACATATAGAAAAAATGCAAACAAATCAACACCTCACCCCTGTTAGAATGGCCATTATAAAGAAAACTAACAATAACAGATGTTGGTGGGTTGTGGCCAAAAGGGAATGCTGCACTGTTGGTGGAATGTAAATTTGTTCAGCCACTCTGGAAAGCAGTATGGAGGTTCCTCAAAAGATTAGACATGGAGCTCCCCAATGACCCAATGACTTCTAGGCATTTAACCAAATGACCACAAACAAGGCCACACCAAAGCTACCAGCACAACCATGTTCATTGCAGTATTATTTACCATAGCTAGACTATGAAATCAACCCAGATGTCGCCCCTTAGAAGATTTATGCATCAAGAAAATGTGGTAAATAGACACAATGGAATTCTATGCTTCCCCCAGAAAGAATGGCATTGTCCCATTCATAAGGAAATGGAATGACTTAGAAAAAATCATATTAAGTGAAGTAAGCCTGACCCAAAGAAACATAGGCTGCATAGTTTTCTTCATTTGTAATAACTAGAATATGTCTAAGATATTCTTAGTAGAGGATAACAGTGATACAATAGCTATGGGCATATGACCATTTGTTAAACAAAATGAACTCCCAAGAATTGGAAGCAAGAGGGTTTTTTAATTATTATTATATTGCTTGCAGTTATTTCTTTTTTCTTTCTTTTTCCTTTTTGTTTATTCCCTGTTGTTTTTGTACCCTTTGTCTTGTATATAAGTTTATCTGACTTGGGAAAGGGAAGGGAAATCATAGAAACAGTGGGACAAAGGGCGAACCAATGTAACAGTGATACTAGGAAATGAACTTTACAACTTGTGAGGGAGGGGAGTCAGGAAGGAAGGAGTGGGAGAATATGAGGAGGGAGAAACACTGTTCACAAAGAAATGTACTCATTACCATACTTATGTGACTGTAACCCCTCTCTACATCTTCTCCTTTACAATAAAATTGTTTAAAAAATTGGCACAAACAGAAACAAACAAGTGGTAGAAGGAAAGGGGATGATGGTTAAATTTACTGTTAAAGTTGAACTATGGTTTTATAGTTCATTCAACTTTCCTTATCCTTTTAAAGAATAGCCAATGCTAATACTATTGAAACCATTTTGGCCAAAGAAACGCATTAAAATCAACAAAGTACATTTTAAAATCTCTCATAACAGTGACAATAGAGCTATCTAAAATAGACAAAAGGATCAGACTAGAGAATTAAGTAACAGAACACCAGTGGAACAAGAAAGCAAGCTGAGCAAATGCAGGTCTTGAGTTCTTACTAGTACTCTATGAAGCTTATTGGCACAGAGTCTCTCTTTTTGATCACTCTGTTTCTCTAGTTCACACACAATGCAGTCAGTTTCATTCAAAACCAGGAATGAATTTAAAAATAAATGATGAAAATTTGAATCGATCAGTGAAGTAAGAAAATCTCACCACATGACTAATATGGATAGAAGGATATTTTAACCATTGGAGGAAGCCTAGCAAGATATTTCATTATACTAGTCCACTAAGGGTGAAAACTATATGATCTTATTAATAGATTAATAAATTTAGTTTTATTTAAATGATGTTTAATATAATAGGAAAATAAAGAAACTTTGTAACCATGATAAAGCAATAACCAGTAGCATATATCTTCAGGAGTGGAATACTAAAACCTATTAGTTTACATATAACCAATGTAAAGGGTATTACTGCTATTGTCACTAGGAAAGTGATATGAATATTTAGTCTTACTAGTACTTAATGTTATAGGAAATTTCAGCAAAGTAAGTAAGAATCAAAAAAATAATCTGTAAACCAGGCACCAGTGGCTCATGCCTGTAATCCTAGCTACTCAGCAGGCTGAGATCTGAGGATAATGGTTCAGAACCAGCCCTGGCTGAAAAGTCGGTGAGACTCTTAACTCCAATAAACTACTCAAAAACCGGAAGTGGTGCTGTGGCTCAAGCAGTAGAGTGCTCACCTTGAGCTGAAGTGCGCAAGGACAGCGCCCAGGCCCAAAGTTCAAGCCTCATGACCAACATAAAAAAAAAAAATCTGTAACAAATTAGAAAAGACAATATTATTTCAGTGTTAAAAGATTTTATATCCAGAAAACTAATACTATTTTAAATGAAATGAAGAAACATTTAAACATTCTAATGGAGAAATACTAATAAATGATTATTTTCTGTACTAACAATAAACTGCAAAATATAGTTTAAAACTCTTTCATAAAAATAAAAATACCATAATATCTTTGAATTTATTTAACAAGATTAAGTCCTAATGAATAAAACATGAAAGCATTTTAGAGGACATGTAATAAGTATTGAATGAAAGGACAGCATGTAATCAGAATATGGGAGTCCTTGACATCAATATCACTACACCCACTTTTTTTTTGTACCAGGCCTGGGTCTTGAGCTCAGGGTCTGTATGTTATCCCTGAGCTTTTGCACTCAAGTCTAGCACTCTACCACATAAGCCACCATTCCACTTCCAGCTTTTTTGTGGTTAATTTCCACAGACTTCCCTGCTGCTGTCCTCAGATATCAGCGTCTTGAGTTGCGAGAATTAAAGAAGTGAGAAGCTCACTGCACAGATTTTATATTGCAGTGGCAACATCATGAGATTTTTAGTTTTAGGTTTTTTTCCTCATTATTGAGAATGCAAAACAGTAATTCGAGGCAAACACATATTTTGTCAGCCCAGAAGGGACTTCGGATAAAAGACTGATTAGGAGAAAATCAGCCATGTAGGAGGAAAAAAAAATCACTTTAAGAAAGAAATCTTTTCTGAATAACAGGAGAATAAAAAAGGACTGAGTACCATTATAGCTATACTGGGAAAATAGTATCATAGGAAATGTTAAAAAAAAAATAGTCTACTACCTTTATTCCTATAGTTGTCTTGCAAAATAAGGGAGAGAAAAGAATAAGAAGGTGATTTTTTTGTCACTTGTGGGATTTGAACTCATTGCCTGTGTGAGCTTTTTCACTAAAGGTTAGAGCTCTACCATTTGAGCTACTGCACCACTTCCGGTTTTCTGGTGGTTAACTGGAGATAAGAGTCTCGAAAACTTTTCTGTCCAGGCTGACTTCAAACTGTGATCCTCAGATCTCAGTCTCCTGAGTAACGAAGATTATAAGCATGAGCCATCAGCACCCAGCTTGGTCATCTTATTTCTATGATTCCATGACAGTGTTTATCATGGAATTATTATATTATTATATATTTTATATTATATCATTATATATATATGATCACTAGTTTCCAAAGGTGGTCATAGTGGTTAACACTAAAGTTAAACAGCCCTTCTCTATTCCGTTTGTTTATTTCATATAATGTGTTTGCCTTTTCTGATGGAAGTAATGAGACTGATGCCCTCATAGGAAGCACACAGTAGACGTAGACTAGTATTGATGATAGCAGGTCCGTTTCTATAGATTGAATTCTTTAGTAATGAACTTTGCAGTCATCCACTTACGTTCTCCTAGCTTTGCTGCCCACAAATCTACCTTCTTTTATCCAAAGAAAAAAGGAAAGAGAAGGCTTTAAAATAGATATTTACATGGTTCCCTTCCATTAGCCCAATAGGCAAGATGGACAGCAATGACAGCCTCACGTCTTTCATTGTGTGGTTTTGTTATGTGCTGAATTATTTCACAGAGAGAAGAAAAATAGTTTACCCAAAGAACAGTTGAGCTGTCTATCTGTTTCCACAAACCAATCTAGAATACCACTGTCCTGGAAAATCCCTACATGCTATGCTTCAAAACCATTTTCAACTTGGATAAGCAAAGCATTAAAATCTCTCAGTGGGGTGAGAAGCTGGAAGTCACTGCTCTGTACTGCTTGAGAATGCAGCAAGTGGATCGGTTGGGCAACATTTAGGCTTTAGGGTTTTCCTACTTTTCCCCTAATAATTTTATGTGTTGTGATTCACAGTCAGAAGCAAGCTGTCAGGATTGATTTTATTTACCTTGGCTTAACAGAACTAGTACCAATTGTCTGAAGATAAAGGTAGGCCAGGTTGAGCCAGAAAAGGCCAGGTTAAGCCTTGTTTAGAAAAGGCACTATCTCTGGTCAGTGTTTAATTGTTATTGCTATCCATCGGTTCCACTAACCATAATTATATCAAATGGCTTATTTTGTCTCCCGTGAATTCACTCTTTCGGTCTTCGCACAGAGGGCGTACAATGAAATTCGTGAAGTGAAGCAGTTTCATTTCACCGGCTGGCCTGACCATGGAGTGCCATATCACGCTACAGGGCTTCTGTCCTTTATCCGGAGAGTCAAGTTATCCAATCCTCCTAGTGCCGGACCCATCGTGGTGCACTGCAGGTGAGTGTCAGTCCACATGCATTCACTCCACGCGCTCAGCTTTTGAGAATATCCAACTCAAGGCTTCTCAGCACAGACGCTACTGTGTGCTTACACAGTTCCTGCTTGCAACATGTGTAACAGAAAATACAAAACTGCAATAAAAGAAAAGTTTGCTCTAAGTAGGATATAAAACAGAAATTAGAAGATGCATACATTCATCCTAATGTGTGCGGTGTTACCCACCATTATCAATGTGGAAACTGCCTTTTAGCGCAACATCTGTGTTTGGGGGGATTTGTGTCACTTTTGTAAATCCAATATTGTGTGGGATGGTAGATTAAAGTAGAGATTCCTTGTCAATCTAGTCAATTCCCACTAGAACTCTAGCTTTTAAAGCTAAATTTGAAACATACAGAGTTACTAAGTGGCCTAATTTGCAAGAATTTGTGCCGTAAAGCTGCTATTTAAAGTTTTCTTTTTCAAAACACCATCTATCAGAGGACCTTGAAAACTACATCAGTGGCGTTCATTGAATATATACCAAAAATCATGAACATTATATCCAGGTTTCTGATTAGAAGCTTCTCTTAAAACAAGCATTCTGAGACATTAAAACAAGCTATATGTCCTCATTTTTCAGATGAAATAAGGAAAAAATAATAAGTATAGAATCTGAAAAGCTTTTCTAAATGCCACATACCATCTTCAAACATTACTACCTCCAAACTACATAATAGGTTGTATTTAAGAACATTTTTCTCTCAGGAAATACAATTTATCAGGATTTAACTGACCTGTATGAAAGGTGGAAGAAACAGTAGAATAAGGCAAAGGCAAAGCATTCCGCAAAGATCTGATACTGTGCTCCTTGAGAATAAATCTTCATTTCAATCTTCTTGGAGAAATCTGATGTAGTCTTCAATTACTTTCCTGTCTCAAGCATGAGAGCAGTGATTGAGAAGATATTAGGGGACAACGAAATAGAGATAGCCACAAAGTCTCTTGCTTAAATGTCTCTAAGAACAATGAGTCTAAGAGAAGTAACTGAATCTGGATAACAAAGAAATAATGCCATTAGCTTTCCAAGCATTTAGAAAAGGTTTTCAATTCAGGGAAAAATTCAGGAGTCAACTTTCTCATGAACTGCTTGCTTGCAAAGTCGTCCAGAATTCTCACACCCTCTCCTGAAACAGAAGTAGCATTTTCCTACACATGTGGGCATCTCTACATTTATGGAAAAGCAGAAACTGCCTGCAATGTATCTAAAAATTAAAAAAAGAACAAACCTTTAACTTGTTTGCTTCGTTGACTTCCACATATAAAATTGGAAGTATATTTGCAAAAGCTAAAATAAAGTATAATTATGACTTTTTAATGAGATATAAGATAATGACTATCGTTGTAACCTATGAAAAACCATATTCTACACCTCACAATTCATGCCTCGTTTCCCTACAGACCATGATTTAGATAGCCATTGTCCTAATGGGCTTCCTTCTATATAGCCTGGCAGTTCCTGTGCATGGTGGCCCCTGACTTCCCATCTGTAAACTGTGGGCTGACTATTCTTTCACCTTGGTGTTGAAAGGAGTCTCTTGTAGATACCAAGCCAGCATTGTCACTTTGTTGTTGGAGAACCCATACACAGAAGAGTACAGATTTCAGTGTGTAGTTAAACTTAGCGCATCAATCCAATTCTTCCCATTCATTTACAAAACCAATTAGCATAAAATGCAGATGTTATGATGTTAGAACTAGAGTGACATACACACATCATTCGGAAATGATTTGGAGCTCAAATTCCAATCTTAATTTTTACACCAAACCAAATACTCCATGTGAAGTTGCTTGTGAATTCCTAAGTCTGCACATAGTGTATATACAAAATGTGCCTTGCACTCGTGTTACATCAGTTGGATTTCACTTTATCTGAAAGTGAAAAATATATTTAAGGCTACAAAGACAAACACTCACACTTTTTGTTAACATCTGGTGATTTTCAGCGCTGGTGCTGGACGAACAGGATGCTACATTGTGATTGACATCATGCTGGACATGGCTGAAAGAGAGGGTGTGGTTGACATCTACAACTGTGTCAAAGCTTTAAGATCTCGTCGCATCAATATGGTCCAGACAGAGGTATATTGACTCACGGATACTAAATAATTTTTCATTTTGATTTTTTTGCCTTTTCAAACAAAAAATTCTATATTTTTCATATATAATGGTCATTCAGCTCATCAAGACCTAGGAGAATTCAGCTATCTTAATGTACATGCTTACTATCCTCTAGCTTCTACAGAGAAGTTTTTAAGATATGATGAGTGTTTCTGCTTTCTTTTGGTAGGAACAGTACATTTTTATTCATGATGCCATTTTGGAAGCCTGTTTATGTGGAGAAACTGCCATACCTGTCTGTGAATTTAAAGCTGCATATTTCGATATGATTAGAATAGATTCCCAGACGAACTCTTCACATCTCAAAGATGAATTTCAGGTATGGACTATTTCTGAAACCTCTTTTATGACTTATTACAACTTTTTCTGGGTACTAATAACTATTTCATGAAAGGTCCTGGCAAGTCAAATTTGCAACCTTTGACCCTACTTCAAGTATAATATAATACTTGTCTCTTTCATTGTACATTTTATAGAATCACTTTCATATTAATCAGCTCATCTCTGCTATGTCTTGTAGGGCAATTGAGTTGTGTCCTCAAGGAAAAGTATAAGGGAAAGGCATTATAAAAGTCAAATTTGATGATGATTTGTAGCCCCTTTTTTCATGTAGCCTCTTAGAAATTTGACTGGCTATGTCACTTTCAATGTGAGATCAGCACATAAATACTAATAGCTGAAGTTTGTGCTAAATATTGTCTCTAACTAGCCAAAGATTGATAGGAATGAAGTCAGAAATAGCTCTAGAAAATGAATACTTTCCTTCGCAGCATAGTGATCCTTCTACCAAGCACCACTTGTGAATCTTCAAATGTGGCCTTGCTAAAGTATGATTGCAAATTATACTAATACAGTTTCCAGTTTGGATAGGTCAACATCAGCAGTCTAGACCACCTGGGTTGTATTGTGTTCGGTTACAAAATGTATTTTTCAGGTAGCTATGTTGTTTAGCGTGTCTTTTCCTTTTAAGAAGAAGCACATTGCACAATGTGTGTCTTGTTTCTTTGGTACTTCTCAGGCTTCATTAGCTCTAAGTAAAAAAGTCATATCAGCCTGTCCTTGTGCCAACTTCCAGGCCTTGCAAAATCTTTCACTTTCTATGTGATCTCCTGAATCTGTGATGGGTCTGTTTGCTATTAAATGGGTCACTGTCTTTTTAACCTGGATTCTTATTTCTCTTTAGACTCTGAATTCAGTCACCCCTCGACTACAAGCTGAGGACTGCAGTATAGCATGCCTGCCAAGGAACCATGACAAGAACCGTTTCATGGACATGCTGCCACCTGACAGATGTCTGCCTTTTTTAATTACAATTGATGGGGAGAGCAGTAACTATATCAATGCTGCGCTTATGGATGTAAGAGACTACCTTCTTTGTTAGTGGAGAAACGCAATGAAAATCCATGTATGCCCCTGAACACTGGCTTCTTTCTACAAAATTTAAATGGCTTAGAATTGAAAATTGGAAATTTGCATGGACATTTTTTTCTAGAAAGTGATTTCAGATTTGACTCATGAAGATTCTTAGTAATTATAATTTTTTTAGCTTTATTGGAGAATTAGGTTTGATGATCAGTTATTGTCATTTTTTTTTTGTCGGTCATTGGGCTTGAACTCTGGGCTTGGGCGCTGTCCCTGCGCTCTTCAGCTCAAGGCGAGCGCTCTACCGCATGAGCCACAGCACCACTTCCAGTTTTCTGGTGGTTTATTGGAGATAAGAGTCTCACGGACTTTCCTGCCTGGGCTAGCTTTGAACCGTGATCCTCAGATCTCAGCCTCCTGAGTAGCTAGGATTACAGGCGTGAGCCACCAGCGCCTGGCTCAGTTATTGTCTTAGAAGAAATTGTGGAGGTTGTATTTTTTTCATTTTAATTATTTTTTTAGAAAATAAAGGAAATCATTCCTTATCTATTTTGATTATCATTAAGGATGTATTTTTAAAGTCATAGGATGCCATATCTTAACAAAATTATGCTAATTTGGGGAATTTTATGTGTCATGTAATGTTCCCATAATTTACAGCTAAGTTGTTTTATTTGCTGTTAGTTAATAAGGACTTTTTGGAAATAAGTATATGACCATTGGCTTTCTTGTCTTGGTCCTATATTTACTTCTTTGAATGAAGTAATAATTCATTTCTTCATTTACATTCGTTTGGAAGCATCAAGTCCACCCACAAATGAACTCAGTAATATTCTCCAGTGGTCCCCATGGTGTAGGCAGCATTTTGGTCCATCTCTACATGAAATGACTGCCTCCTATGGGTCTTCCTCTGAAGCGTATTGAATCTGCTTGAACAACTGATTATCAGTTTGTGTTCTCACCTTTCCCTATCTACTGTGTTTCTTCACAGAGCTACAGGCAGCCAGCTGCTTTCATCGTCACACAGTACCCACTGCCAAACACTGTGAAAGATTTCTGGAGATTAGTGTATGATTATGGTTGTACCTCCATAGTGATGTTAAATGAAGTCGACTTGTCCCAGGTTAGTGGGCATTGGTTGCTTTGTGTATTAATATGCAACTTAATAGAGTTAAAAATCATAATTTCTATTTTATATAATCCTAATGAGAAAACTTCATACTCATTTTTTTTCTTTCAAAATATTTCTCATCTAGGGCTGCCCCCAGTACTGGCCAGAGGAAGGGATGCTACGGTATGGCCCTATTCAAGTGGAATGTATGTCTTGCTCAATGGATTGTGATGTGATCAATCGGATTTTTAGGATATGCAATCTAACCAGGGTAAGTCTTTGTTGAGCCATCTAACTGACTTAGGGTGAATAGATAATTATTGTGATGAACATAATGCACCTCAAAGATCTGAGAGAGAAGAATCAATAAGCACCCCATAATGCATGAAATAACTAGTGATATCTTATACCTTAGTGCAAGGACAAGAAAAGCAATCCAATCCCCCCAAAAATTAGAAATACAAAAGCCCAATTTTGTTTCCAGTTGCTAACTAGGTTAGTCTATCACATCTGGAAATCAAGATTCAGAAGCAGTAGCCCAGATAGATTTGATAGGCAGGCCTGCATCCTCAGAATCACGTGCACTTCAGTAGATATCTAGCCAGAAAATGGCCTGCAATTGAAAAGTAAGAACATAATGATGTTGTTGATGACAAAGAAGATTTACCTCAGGAGAGAGGAACATGTCAGAGCAGCTATTATAGGGTAATTCTATGTCAGTATTCCAAGACCCGCATATAAGAGAAGAGTCCAGGCCTGAAAGAAAAGGTAGATCCTCGCCATCACTGATTCTTCTACTAACAATGCTATCTTTCTAAGCACCGTGGTTTTGGCTCTGCAAGATCTAAAGAGAGAGTTCTGCTGCCACTTCTGTGCCTTTTTCTATCAGCAACATAACAACTGTGTCCCTTAGGTGTCCTTCCCCTGACTAGTCATGTGCTTGGCATTAAATAGCAAGTTGGAATTTTCTTTTTCCCAAAACAAGTACTAAGACCATTTAGATTATAGCACTGGAGAGCAAGCAGAAGTTGAAAACCATAGTTGGAAAGCTGCATTTTCATAAAGGAAAAGATAGCTTCTGTTTACAAAGTACCCGCTCGATGTGTATGCATTATTTTAAGTGTGTGATTAGGATTGTCATGTTTCAGTGTTTCTTATATCAAAATGACTATATGCGTGTCGGTTAATTAGCCTATATGTATATAACTATAAACAGGGGATAAAATCATATCCAATTCTATTGCTCATTTCAGTGGAGAAAAACAGGTAAGTTCAATCATGTCATAATATTCATGCATATCTTAGATGTTAATTTAAATGGAATCTCATTATGTCTGCACATCTGTTACATTATGGTTCTAGTTATATTTTAGCTGAGCAACCATAGCTGCTAAAGTAAGAAAGTAAAAGACCTCTGTGAATTGAGCTGTTTATGTGGAAAAAAACTAGAAATAATATTTAAAATCCATTTTTTTCATTGTGTATGTTTATGTGTTTTTTTTTATTTTCCTCCATATCTGATGTTTTGGTGCTTTTTAAGGTATGATACTTTTTCTGTTCCTGGTCTCGTTATTTAATAGGACTTCCTTCATCTGTACTTGGTATGCACAACTGTCAAGATGGGTATTGTATTCCATAGAGCTGGAGCCCTAGAGGCTGGCACATAGAGGTTCAGATAGGATGCCTTAAGATACAGCTTGTTCAATGTATTTCATAGTCTTTCTTGTCTTGAGTTTAACATTTTGATTTCTTTTAGCAGTACTAGCTTTTGAAAAGTACTATGCAAGATTCTTGTGACAGAGTTAGAGGGAAAAGAGAGATTTGCTTAGCCTTAGGGAATTTACATTTTATCAGGGAAGATAAATAATCACTTATTTACTAATGTGATATATATATATATATGTGACAGAGGAAAAGCCCAGCATGCAGTTTATTTAAAACTGGAAGATGAGACATAGTTATGTGATCACAGAAGACAGCTCTAAGATACTGGTATTTAGGACAAAATTTGAAATCTGTAGGTGATATTTGAAGGTGAGAAACCAGCTATCTTGCTTTGCCCGAGACAGAGAACTTTCCCAGAACACATGGGTTTCAGTTCTAAAACAGAAAAGTTCCCGTACTTGGATAGAGAAGAGCAATCAAGAAAAAAGTTTCCAAAACCAAGGGGACCGCAAATGCAAGAAGTTAAAGCAAGAAGTGTCTTGATAATGCATGTATGAACGGAGACCTGTGTAAAACCAAGTCTCACTGGCTCATACCAGCAATAATACCTACTCAGATTGAAATTTGGATGATCTCAATTCAAAGAAGCTGGGACAGAACACTCTGAAAGACTGCATCTCCAGTTACCCAGCAATATTAATGGACTGGAGGAATGACTCAAATAGTAGAATGCCAGACATGAGCCAAAAAAAAAAAGGCTAAAACAGAATGGCAGGCCATTGTATCTAGAACTGGAATGCTAACTAGGTAGAGTAAAAAGAAGTATGGAAGGAATGGAATGAAATCATGTAAAGATTTTCAAGTCACAGTAGAGATTTGGATTTTATGCTAAGATCATCTGAAGTCATTCAAGTTATCTACATCATTGTTGATATCTGTAGTAAGAATGGATTGGAAAGATATCAAGGTTTATTCAGAAAGATTAGCATCAATTATTTATAAATTGTGACTAACACTGGCAACAACGTGACAGGTGAATATGAAAGGAACTTAAGAAATATGATCATGGGAATCAAGCCCTGGATTGGGGATGTGCCAACCATAGACCTAAAGAACACTTCCCATGTTTCTCATTGTGTCACATGGAATGCTTCTGTAAGAGCGCATGCCATCTAGATGCCAGCCAGTGTGAATGCACTTTGTATTATAAAGTACGTACACGCTTACATTCACCAAATTTCTACTCTCACCTTACTCTAATTAAAACATTTTTCCATCTTCAGCCACAGGAAGGTTATCTGATGGTGCAGCAGTTTCAGTATCTAGGGTGGGCTTCTCATCGGGAAGTACCTGGATCCAAGCGGTCGTTTTTGAAACTGATACTGCAGGTAGAAAAATGGCAAGAGGAATGCGAGGAAGGAGAAGGGCGGACCATCATCCATTGCTTGTGAGTAGAGCTGATTGGCCTTAGAACAAGGGAACACCTTAGAACTCACTTGCTTGTGTTCTTTTCATTTTTTTAATCTTAATTGTTAGTGTAAAGGTTATGTACAGAGGGGTTACAGTTATATAAGTTGGATAAAGAGTACATTTCTTTTTGAACAATGTCACCCCTTCCCTCCCTCTCTCCTAGTTTTTCCCTCCCATCTCCACATACAAGTTGCATAGTTCATTTTCAACATAGTGCCTTAATGAGTATCACTGCTGCATTTGTTCACCCTTTGTCCCTCCATTTCTATGCTCTCCCTTACCCTCCCAAAGACAGATAAATGAACAGACAAAACAAAAAGAAAACAAAAACAGCAACAAAGAAAATAATAAAATCTCTTGATTCCATTTCCTGTGCATATGATGCACATAGCTACTGCACCTGTGATCTTCTCCTAAGAATATCCTCCTTGTGTCTCATTCAGTGTATACTAGAGTTCCTTACATCTTCAAAGACTACATGGTATTTAAAAATAAAAATCCCCCAACAACAAATCTTCAAAGAAACAACTGACCAATAAATAAGTGGGCTAGGGCTGGGAAGGTGGCTCAGTGGTAGAGCGCTTGCCTTGCATGCATGAGGCCCTGGGTTTGATTCCTCAGCACCACATAAGCAAAAAGAAAAAAAGCC